TGTAGTTATAATAATTAAATTAGAATTAAAATACATAAAATTCTATCCAGCACAATAAATATCTGCTCTATAATTATTCATATTACCTTTTTATTTCTCAAAAAGCATCTGATTACAAAACTATTTTTCACAATAATAATAAAGACAATCAAATGCCATTTGTTGAATGCTTACTGAATGCCGGACACTCTGCTAGCTAATTTGCATTGTCAGAAAGCAAAATGCAAGGTTTTAAGTGAAATTTACACAAAGTAAAATTGTTGATTTGATATAAAAATCTTATTTGCAATGTGGAATTGGAACAATTTGACCAAGAAAGGGAAAAGAAAAAGAAGGAAAGGGGGAAGTGGTGTTGAAAACACAGAGAAGAGAAAGAAGAGTGACTAGGAAGATAAAGTGCTGGAGAAACGGAAAGACTAAATAAACAGTGTATGTGAAAATGCTTTAAAAACTCCAAAGGGGCTGTACGAATGAAATGGAGTGGCGAAGGGGGTGGTGGGGATTTTCCTCCACTGATGGAAAAGACTAGACTCTATTTCAGGATAAAAGCTGCCCTGCTGCTATCAGCACATCTAGGAATCTCTCCTTAGGCATTATTCTTCTGATAATTAAATAAATCGTACCTGTTCTGGGACATTTTCTTCCATATGGAATCCTGTAAATTCCAAGGACATAGCCATCTTTTGTCACAACGTCATATTTTTCATAAGGGTAACCCCAGTAGGAAATAATCTGGCTCTGAAAAGAGGAAAGGAAAATATAAACCTTCTTGACGTAATCCCTTGATTTTTCTACCCATGTTCCAATGTAGTACTTTAAGTCACAGCCTACTCTTTATCTCCGTATTGGGACGGAACAGAGCAGGGAAATCAGGATAGCTTGAGGAGGATTTTAAAAGGAGGATGTAGGCAAAGGCATGGGTAAGGCAAGGTGACTGACTGTACATCCTGGTTTCCCTGGCCTGGTGTTATTAATGCACTCGAGTTCACTCTGAAAACGTGTGATGAAAAAGTATCTGGTCGTTTAATGAGGGAAACGGCATGGGATTGTGCAGAACCCTGTGGCTAGTACTAAGTGAGCTGTTACCAACCTCAGAGCTGAAGGGAGAAGGGGGACAGTGGTTACAAGACCTGTGTGAGAAGGTCAAGAAGAGAGGCTCACATGGAGAGGAGCTGAGACCTTCAGCAGAGGGAGACAGCCTGTGATGACCTTATGGAGGGAGCCAGGGCAATAAGTCATCTGATCTCACTCTTCTCCCACCTTCTGATCTGTTCTAGGTTTCCATTAGCTGAACTGAACTGAAAACCAAAGAGCAAGGTGGTTTGTTGACCTAGTTCTTACAGGTCAGCCTCTTGGGCAGAAATAAAGATGTAAAGAATAGACAGTGGAGGTAGAGGGGCAAAAACAGAAGATGCCTCATCCACAGATACACAAGGAAGAGGGGAACTACTGCTTATTGGTCATCTTCTGCATAGGGGCTGGTTAGTATCTTTCGTTTTAGTAATCTTTACAACAGGTCTTTGAGACAGAATTATACGCATTTACAGTTGAGAAAACTGAATGACAGGATTAATAATGGGGCCAAGATTGCACGCTAGGAAAAGATAAAGACAAAATGTAAATCAAAGTAAGGTTAGCTCCACAGCATATGGGCTTATGACAGGATTATGTATTTGCCTGGGGCAGGCATGTAAGAGGAATGTATATATTACCAGGCTGGATAAGGCAGAGGTTTTGAGAGCCCAGACTCTAGAGACAAGCTGCGTGGCACTGAATTCCAGCTCTTCCTCTTAATGGCTATGTAGCTTTGGGCAAGTTACTTAACTCGTTTTTGCTTTATTTCACTTAACTGTAAAATAAAGATAATAATGGCATCTCTTCACAGATTTGTTGTGAGAATTACACACACAGTAAGTGCTCTCTATAATGGCTTACAATTCTTTTTATCATTAGAAAATAATTAAGAGCCCCAAACCACCCAGACCAGGGAGGAAGAAAACGCCTGTGAATGTGGGAGGAAGAGGAAAATGTGGATTTGAGGAAGTGTTTTCATGGACTGTGTGTTCAGCAGTGTAGTGGGAGGTTAGGGGTGCCCGCTGGACACTTGGGAGAGAGAAACAAGAAGAGACACTAATTTAAAAATGTTGACAGTTCCATTCTTAAAGTTCTAATACAAACTTGAGTGTGGGTGAAGACATCAGTGCTGTACAATGTATACAGGAATGAAGGAATTGAATACAGGAATCCATTGGAATGAAGCATACAGTTAACATTTGTCAATTGTTTGTTTGTTTGTTTTTCTTTTTCTTTTTTCCCCCGGATCATTCCATTCCACTCTATTCCAGTCCACTTCTGGTATGAATTCCTGCATGTTAAGATCTGGTTAGAAGCAAACAAAACCAAATCTGGCTTACTAAACTGAAAAAAATGCATAAAGATAGTTCACAAATCAAAGAATCTGCTCTAAAAAGAGCCTCAGGAAGAAGTCAAGGAGACTAGAGAGATCATCAGTAGGATCTCACGAACCTCCTCCTCAGGAAACCACCATGAGGCGGTCGCTCAAACTACCAGGGGAGGGAGTACTACTGCCCACTTTGGGTCGGGTCTTTCAACGCCTAGACTAGTTAGCTATGCCAAAGAACGAGGGAAGAAACACAGATTTAGTCAATCTAGAATTTTTTAAAATAGACAAGCACACCAATCATACCCAAAATGACAATAAATTTATAATTCTTTATCTTAATTTTTTCCCTTAATGAGTGACTTACAATATTCATATTAGCTTCAGGATTTGTGGTGGGTCCTTCCCTATAATAACCACATACAGGTCCAAGAAGAAGCATCCAGCATGTTGCTGCTAAAAGCTGCCACATTTGGAATGAGCCTGGGAAAAGGAATATTAGTATATTTGTCATCAAAGAGAATTCCAAAAGTGAAATTTGGTGTAATCTTTTTATAACACTACTGTGGGAGGGAGTAGAAAAAATGCTTCTAGGCTGTGTCTTAACAAGTAACGTACTTAATTATTCAAGACTCATCCCATGAAAAATCTGAAATGTTAATTTTTTAGTAAGAAAAGAAAGAAGAAAGGAAGGAAAGAAGAAAGGAAGAAACCATTATCAATTAAATCTCCAAATAATCAAACAAAAGAAGGGAATGCATAATGCACAGAAGAAGTATAGTGGCCAGTATATTAATCAAAACACATTTCATATCTCCAGTTATCAGATAAATGAGTACTTTTCTTCTGATGGTGGGAGTGAGCATTGGCACAACCTTTATGGAAAGAAATTTGTTAACATGTCTTGTAAATTTAAAAATATTTATATCCTACAGTCAATAGAATTCTATTTCCAAGAGTCTATCCAAAAGAAATATAATATATATGCAAGTACTATGTATAAAATCATCCCTTATTATATATCTTAATATAATGAAATTTGCCACAATAAAAGATTGATAAAATAAGTTATGGGGAAGGAAGAATGGAATTTTTCAGTTTACCAAGTATTACGTTTTTGTGCAGTATGTGAAATTCCCATTAAATGATATTAAGGGCAAAACAATGTAACTTGTGCATGTATTTCGAGCTTAGTGATAAAACGAATTATAAAGAGAAAAAAAGGACTAGGCATCAAATTTTAATTATGGTTATATCTAGATGGTGAGTATTTGCGTGATTATTTTCTCATTTTAAAGGGTTTTTCATACTTTCTAAATTTTCTATATTTGGTATTACTTTATCATAAAAAAAGAAGTTATTCTTCAAATAGAAAATTGTGAAAATTATGGGAGGAAAATATGATGTATATTCCTCATTTGGCTTTGAAACTACTTAAGTTTAAAAACAAACAACAAGGGCAAAAGTAACAGAGGGAGACATTTTGTAATGGACCTCTAATTAACTACTGTATAAAATGAAGACCTTCAAGTTATATTAGAAAATATACTAACTGCAAATTTCCTCTAGAAAAAGATTAAGACAAAATTTAAGCCAAAGTAAGTTTAGCTCCATAACAAATGCCCTTATGACAGGATTTGCATTTGCCCTGGCCAGACACACAAGAGGTGTGGATACAGCCCTCCCTTGGTATCTGGGCGGGATTGGTTCCAGAACATTCCTCCTTACTTCCATCCACGCCCCCACGGAAACCAAAATCCACAGATGCTTAAGCCCCTTATATAAAGTGGCACAGTATTTGTATATAACTTATTGCACATTCTCCTGAATATTTTTAATTATCTCTAGATTACTTATAATACATAAGTATTATAATGCAATGTAAATGCTATATAAATAGTTGTAAATACTATGTCAATAATGGCCAACACACTGGCAAATTCAAGTTTTGCCTCTTGGAACTTTCTGGAATTTGGGGGGAATATTTTCTTCGTGGAACGCACAGATACGGAGGGCCGAATGTATATTATGAGGCTCTGTAAAACAGAGTAGACACTTCTCTCTCTCTCTCTGTGTTTTTAACACCACTTCCGTTTTTTCCTTGTCTCTTGCTTAGTCAAATTGTTTCAATTTTACATTGCGAATAGAATATGACTTTTATATCAAATTAACATATTAGAGAGATGACAAATCTCACTCTGTAGGAAATGGAAGTGTTTTTCAGACTATGCCTTCACTATTCTGTTATAGAAATTTCCATGAATTCTTCTCTTGAATCTGTCAAAGTCATAATCTTTGTTGACTACATGTATTAATATAATTAATATGTGCAATAATTAATATGATTGATAATATATGAATTACGTAATACACATATAATTTTATATTAATACAATATATATAATATATATAACTAATGTGATTAATAGAGCTAAATTCTGGTGAATCTCTGTGGTAGTTGTAATAATAGCACCACCAACAGTGATAATTATTGTTATTAATCTGTTTTGTGCACTTATTATGTGCCAGATTATGTGCCAGACATAATTATCTCATTTTTTTCTCAAAATAACCCCAAGGGATAAGAAATTATTCTCATTTTATTTCAAATGAAACTGAGTCTTAAGGGCAAGTCATTTGCCTGAGGTCAAACATGTAGTGATGGAATTGGAATCTGACCTCAGGTTGCCTGACTCTAAAGGAAATGCTCTTATTTATTATGCTCTTAACCGTTCTGTCCACACAAGATACTCTTACTAGGGCCCTCTGCTATGCGCCTCATTAGTGTTACATGTGATCCACAGACCACAGGCATCATAATCACTATTAAAAACAATGAAGACTCTTAGAACCCACCCCAGTCAAGCCAGAGAGAATCTAAGGGGGTGTGGCCAGAGATGTGCATTTTAAACCCTCATTTCAAGTGATTCATGTGCATTCCCACTTGTGGAAAACAGACAGACTGAATTCCTTGAGAAGATAAAATGGTTCATTCTCACTTTGTGAAGGTTCTCACTAGCATGGATCTTATAAATTTTTGCCAAATAAATAGATGGGTAAGAGTGAATGAGTACATCATTTAATCTTAAAGACTATCCAAATCGACCCATTGTTTTGTATCTTATCTTTCTGCTTTCATTTCACCCCACTGCATGGGGCCTCTTTTTTTGACGGGAAGATTTGAGAGCTGATTTTTGTCCTTAATTCAGGTCTGTATCTTATGGGAAGGTAGTAAGATAATTTTTTTTTAAATTAGTCTTTTCTCTCATGACATTTACAATTTAGATCCTCCAGTTTCTGCTGAGTGATTGGCACCTGAGGCCTCTGAGTCACATCTCTGGCAAGTGAACAGGGGGCCCCTGGGTTAGAGCAGATCCACCCTCTTCTGAAATGTGCAGCTGGGGAGAGCCTGTGGGCTTGTAATGATGCGGGGAGGAGGACTCAGTGGCTCGCACTGCGGGCTGCTTGTAGGAAGATCTGGAGTCTAGTCCTCAGCAATGGCACAAAAATGCACTAGCCCCATGACCAGCTGTGTTTTGCAGCGATGGCCTGAAGCCCATTCAGCTGGCTTGGTTTCCTTCTTCTGTGCAACGGATCTGGGTAAGGAAGGAGTCTTTGAATTGAGTAGTGAATAAATGACAGGTTATTTCGTACCAACACCTCTTTTTAAATAGGAACATATAACAGCAGTTAAGAATTTGTTTGCTTAAAACTTCTACCAAAAAATCTCATTTTTCACTCTATAAAGTATCTTATCTAGTCTATCTATAATTCTCATATCATGGATTAAGCACCTATATGCTTAATCATCATAATTATTATTTTCCCACAGGTAGAAAATGTCAATTTAGGATTTAAAGATCTATTTTACTCCATGTTCTTTTCACTAAGTCTTGCTGCCTCTTACAAAATTTCTACAATAAAATTTTCTCAAAGCGTTACAAGATGTCAGAAAGTCTGGGCACAGTGTAACTTTGTAAAAGATTAGAAGGAGGAACAATTTTGTCTTAACAGATTTGAGTATAAAATTCTTTTCGGTGACAAAATTGAAAATAGAATAGGGCCTAGAAATATGAAACTATCCTGTGTATCCAGGTTGCTTGCCAACCAAATAAAAGATTCCAAGACAAAGCCAGTGTTCACATGCACAATAAAATGTAAATAAAATGCAGATAACATGTATGACATTCTCACAGCCCAAGGGAGCTATGACAATTGGGATGAAAATTTTATATATATATACATATTGATACATACATACATACATACATACATACATACATATATATGTATATATATATATATATAAATAAAATGTACTGAGTATAATATTAATAAGAAACATGTAATCATTTTTCCCTGTCATCAATTTGTATCATCTTTTATGAACTAATGAGCTGAGAAAGATGAGAAAAGAAATGTAGGAAGAGAGAGAAAGAGGAGGAGGAAGAAAGCAATCATATGATAGATAATTATCTGGACTAAAGGATAAAAGATTCAAGTTTATAATGAATCAGTGTTACTTATATGATTGTCACCAGGCTAAACGTTTTCAATTACTTCTGCCACCTCTCCAGTCCAACTATCACATTTCGAATACCTGTATCATTTTACTGAGCTCCTGGTTAGTCTTTTATTTTCCAGTCTTTATGACTCAAAATATTATGTATATTGGTGCCAGATTAATTTTTATAAAACCATCTCATCACTTCGAATTTCTATTCAAGAAATCTTAATGAAAAACTTCTGCTGCCACAAAACTGGCCTCTGCACCCCAAAAGCCAGATTGAGACTTGAAGGCAGCTTTGGGAGAAAAAGAGCAGCTTTATTGCTTTGCCAGGCAAAGGAGACTCACAGCAGGATAATGCCTTAGAGACTAGGAATTCATCTTGGAGTTGAGGTCTTGGAAGTTTTATAAAAGGAAACTGGATGGAACAGAAAAGGTGATAACAATCAGGGCACTTTACGGGGTGCTGCTACATTCCCCTTAACCTCCATCCATCTTTCTGGCATCATGGGGGAACTGCAGAGGGTTTGTCCATTCTTCTGAGATCATCCTCCCATTACCTTCTTCCTGGAGCATAGCCTCTGGGTTAAAAGTATTGTAAAGAATGTAAATGTAAAGGGAGAGGTTTGGGGATTACTTAGCACAAAAGCAGTAAGGGAGAGAAGCAAATTGCAGGATTTCTTAGTCAGAAAGGATCAGCAGACAGTTTCAGCATCAGGGAAGTTAGTTTGTTTCCTACTTCTTCATTTTTACTTCCAATCATGATGGAATAGCCCTTACAAGACTAACTGTCTCACTGACAAAATATAGAAGTCAATTATTTTCAGACATCAGACAACAGGGTACAATATTGCAGTCCTTTTTATATTTTAAAAAGCCAACAGAAGAATCAAAATAGAATGCTAAAATTTTTGATATCCTAGAAGAAGGCAGAAAAGGGGGTAATAGAAAAACAGGAGAAAGAAAGAAAGAAAGAAAGAAAGAAAGAAAGAAAGAAAGAAAGAAAGAAAGAAAGAAAGAAAGGAAGGAAGGAAGGAAGGAAGGAAGGAAGGAAGGAAGAAAGAAAGAAAGAAAGAAAGAAAGGAACAAATGGAAAATAAATGGGAAAAAGATGGCAGACAAACCCAAATGTATCAAAAATTACTTTAAATATTAATGCAAAAATACTTCAGTTAAAAGGCAGAAATTACCAGACTGGATTAAAAAAAAAAACAAAGCCCAAATACATCCTTTGAACAAGAGACCCATTTTAAATATAAAGAGAAATAGATTGAAAGTAAAATAAACAAAGGAGTATACCATGAAAACAGTAACTGTAAGAAAGCTGGCATGGATATGTTAATATCAGACAAAGCAGGTTTTCAAGACAAAGAGTATCAT